AAATATCAAAAGAAAGATGGAAAGAATACACACACAGAGTCACTGTACCAAAAAGAACTGATCGATGTTCATCCATTTCAGGAGATGCTATACAATCAAGAACTGATACCATTGAAGGAAAAAGTCAAAGTTACACTGAAGAAATTGGCAAAGAACAAGTCTCCAGGAATTGATGAAATACCCATTAAGATGTTTCAACAAATGGGTGCCACACTGGAGGCACGTACTCGTCTATGCCAAGTAATTTGGAAGACAGCTACCTGGCCAACTGACTGGAAGAGATCCATATCTGTACCCATTCCAAAGGAAGGTGATCCCATACAATGTTGAAATTATCAAACATTATCATTAATATCACACACAAAACGTATGTGTTCCATTTTATTTTTGCCGAAGGTAATTCCAAAACAATCATACCAGTTTATTGACAGAGAACTTCCAGAAACACAAGGGGTATTCAGAAGAGGACTTGGAATGAGGGATATCATTGCTGATGTCAGATAGATCTTAGCTGAAAGCACAGAATACCAGAAAGATGTTTACTTTTGTTTTATTGACTATGCAAAAGTACTGGACTATGTGGATCATAATAAATTATGCACAGCATTGAGAAGAATGGGAATTCCAGAACACTTAGCTGTGCTTGTGAGGAAACTGTACATAGACCAGGAGGCTGTCGTTTCAACAGGATAAGGGGATACTGCATAGTTTAAAAGCAGGAAGGGAGTGTGTCAGGGTAGTATCCTTTCACCATACTCATTCAATCTGTATGCTGAGCAAATAATCCGAGAAGCTGGACTATATGAAGAAGAATGTGGCATCAGGATTAGAGGAAGACTCATTAACCACCTGTGATATGCAGATGACACAACTTTGCTTGCTGAAAGTGAAGGTGACTTGAAGCACTAATTGATGAAGATTAAAGACACCAGTTTACAGTATGGATTACATCTCAACATAAAGAAAACAAAAATCCAAACAACTGAACTGATAAGGAGCATTATGACAAATGGAGAATAGATTGAAGTTCTCAAAGATTTCACATTACTTGGTTCCAAAATCAACACCAATTAGAAGTAGCAGTCAAGAAATCAGATGACTGTGGAAGCCTTGGGCTTCAGCTCTGCCTCCTGCTCCCGGCCCACTGAAGCTAGAGGCTTTTCTTCAGATAGCTGCTGGCTGCTGAGGCTGCCAAGCCCAAGGTTGACAAGTGAAAAGGCACAGTCCTGATGTTACCAAACCATACGGCAGGCCATTAATTCAAGTCCATTTTAAGTCCCAAGGTTGGTAGAGCATAGCAGGCTGCTGAGCAATGACATGGCTAGCTACATGCAGGGTCCAAGTGTGCCATAAGCTAGAGACCATTCCCAAAGCTGCTGCTTATATATGGAAGCAGACCACATACCCAATGGCAGCTACTCAGCTGCTTACAGTAGATCCCACCATGGAGTTGATTACCAGTCTCATCATGGGGAATACTATATCCAGCTGCCCAGCCACTCAATCAGGCCTAGCCAACTTGACACAAAAACACAGCCACCACAGAGCCCATCAACAGAAGAATGGATAACCAAACTGATACATACACACAATGGAATACTATGCAACACTAAAGAGTAATGTAGAATCTGCAAAAGACCACATAACATGGATGAACTTGGAGGACATAATGCTGAGTGAAATAAGTCAATTACAGAAGGACAAATATTGTATTAGTCTGTTATTGTAAAAAGTCAAGGAAAGGTTTACATATGGAAGAAAACTCTCTTTGTTGGTTAGCAGGGGCAGGAGGGTAGAGGAGAGGAAGGAATACTGCTGGATATGTAGTGACAAGTATTGATTTGGGTGAAGCAAAGGCAATGTACCAAATGTGAGTGATCAACACAGTGGCACTGAGGAAGAAGACACAGAGGTGCATGGGAGGTACAGACAACAAAGATGAACCCTTCTACACATACTGCGTTGTCAGTGATTCCAAACTTTTGATATACAGGTGGACAGATGGGTGGTCAGGCTGAATGATTAGGTATGTCAATGAATGGGGGAGTGTGCCTATGACCATGTATAAGGTTGGCAGACAATGTTTCTATAAGTGTATTTGTATGTTCTATAAGAACTGCCAGGAATATAGAAGAGCTGACAAGGGACAAGGTTGTAGTCACTTCTTGACCACAGCCAGCTACCCAGAGGGAGTGAGTAGTTGGACCTATGGGCTTGGGACCATGGTTGCAAGGGACATCAAGCTCAATTGGCATAACATACTACACAAAACATTGTTCCACATCCTACTTTGGCGAGGAGTAGCTGAGATCTTAAAAGCTTGCAAGCAGCCATCTAGACGCAATGATGGGTCTCTCTTCGTCCAGAGCAAAGAAGAATGAAGAAAACCAAAGACGCATGGAAACAATTAGTCCAAGGGACTGGTCCAC